GTGGAGCTGGGGATTGAACCGAGGTATCCTGTACCTGACTGTGTTTGCATGAGCAGGTGCTTAAACAACTGAGCTAACCAGTAGGCCCCCTCAAGTCAACAACTTTTGGGACATTGCCAGTTCTGTGGATAATTCACCATGCTTTTTGATTACATCTAGTGAGTATATTCCACTAATCAATGAGAAAGTATAAAAGATAAACAAATTCAATTTCTTTAATAAATGGTATGGTATAAAACATCAATATGCAACAACAATAGAAGAATAAAACTAGATATAGACTTCACACCTGCATAGCAGTTAACTCATAGTAGACCTCAGATGTAAATGTTCAATAAATACAACTGTAAAATTCCTAGAAGAAAGCATAGGAGACAATGTAGGCAACTTAGGGTTTGTCAGTGACTTCCTGGATATGGCCTCCCAGTCACAATTTATAAAAGAAATATTTGACAACTTGAAATTTATTAAAATCATTTTTATTTGACAAAGATATTGTCAAAAAATGAAAAGACTAGCCACACTCAGAAAAAATATTTGCAGAAGACATACTAAAGGATTGTCATCTAGAACTCAGAATTTTTATACAGAACATTGAAATCTCAACACATAGAAAACAAGCAACTTGTTTAAAAAATGGGCTAAAAAATCTTGAAAGATCCTTTACCCCAGATGATAGAGAGATGGCAAACAAACACATGAAAAGATGTTCACATAACACATCAAAAGGAAGTGCAATTTGAAACAACAATGTGATAGCACTGCCCAAACTATTTTGTATCCCCTTTTTTGTTTATTTTTGTCAGAGAAGGGTATTCCATTGCCATTTAAATATTGTAGGTGCATGAATTCAGCAAAATATTCCAATATAGTCCAGTAGTCCATAATAGTAGTGGGTCACCCACAGGACTGGCAATGTCAGAATTTGTTGACCTGAGTCCTTTACTGCCCAGAATACCAAAATGGCTTCACTCCTTTTACCTAGTTTTTTTTTTTAACCTTTCTGCTGGATGGTTAAGACCAAGATAAAGCAAGACCTATATAGCAAGAAATGTGACTTTTGTATCTGACAAGGTCAGTCAAGTCCCTTCAGGATTTATCCTGAAACCCTTTATCGCACTTTGTAGATCCTTTGTTAGTGTCAGCCATGTGTATGAGTCATGGCTATTGCTTGACCAATTTACTCTCTGTGAAAGCCTGAGAGAATGTTTTCTCTCCATGTGACTCTCCTTAACTGCCCAACTATTAAAATCTAAAACACTAACAACAACAAATTTGGGCCAGGATATGGGACAGCAGAAACTCATCATCTTTGGAGGGAACACACGATGGTACTGGCACTTTAGAAGGTAGTTTGGTGTTTTCTTATAATGCTAAACATACTCTTACCATGGAAACCTGTGAACACACTCCTAGCTATTTACCTAAGGGGTTGTTGAAAACTTATGTCCACATGAATTCCCAGAGTTGTTAATAACAATTTCATTCACAATTGTTAAATCTTAAATGCAATCAATGTAAGCTTCAGTATGTGAATGGGTACATAAACTAGGACACATCAAGACCATGAAATATCATTCAGTTCTAAAAATAAATGAGCTATCAAGAGCTGAAGTATTCTTCAAAGATATTAGTGATAGAAGTCAGTCTACAAAGTAGTATGATTCCACCTATATGACATTCTGGAAAAGACAAACCCATAAAAGATCAATGGCTTTCAGGGGTTTGAAGGTTTGAGGGGAAAAAAGGAAAATGAGTGTGTGTGTGTGTGTGTGTGTGTGTGTGTGTGTGTGTAAGAGAGAGAGTGTGTGATTGGCAGAAGGTTGCTGTCAATATTGATAGGACACATGGTCCTTGAGTCAGCAGAAATCCTGAGCTTAGGCAGACCCCTTGGGGGGATTTGGGGCAGCAAAACTATTCTGTTTGATGTTGTAATGGATTGATGTTACTGTCCTTTTGTCTAATGGCAGAGAATGTACACACCATGAATGCACTCTGGGCTTTGAGTTACATGTGTTAGGCAGGTGCTTCTATTATAACAAGGGACATTGCTATCAGGTATTGATCCTGGGAAAGTCCCAACATGGGAGCATGGGGTATAGGAATTATCTCTGCTCCTCCCTCTCAAATTTTCTCTAACCTAAGCCTGCACTTACAGAGTGAAATCTTTTTCTAAACTATAGAAACCACAGAAGAATGAGAGATAGTACAGTAACACATAAAAATGGACAGTTCATTTAAATTATATGATTAAAATTTTTATTAATTTTATTGAGAAAACAAATACAATGAGACAGTTTCAAAACTGATTAGTAGTACAGTTTCAATAATTAATACATTGCATGTTGTTGTCTTTGGAGTAGTTTTCATAGTACAAGATGCAGACATGATATCCTGTCCAAACACTATTAGTTCAAATCTTTCTTCTCACTGAGAAAGTAGCTTTATATCTGTCCTAACTATTTTGTATATACAGATACAAAATGTCCTTCATTTATATCCCACATTTTTATTTAGTTTTGTCCGAGATGGGTATTCCATTGCCGTTTAAATATTGTAGGTACATGAATTCAGCAAAATAATCCAATATAGTCCAGTAGTCCACAATAGTAGTGGGTTATCCATAGGACTGACAATTTCAGAAGTTGTTGATTTGAGCCTTTTACAGCTCAGCATATTAAGCTGAGGCTTTAATAAAGCTCAGCCTTTATTTTTTATAGCTTGGTTTTATACTTTTCTGCTGGATGGTTAAGACCAAGATAAAGCAAGACATATATAAAGCAAGAAATGTAACTTTTGTGTATGACAAAGTCAGTCAGATCCTCCAGGATTTACCCTGAAACCCGGTACTGCAGTTTGTAGAGATTATGCTTTTTATAACAAGGTAAAATATTGATTAACTAAAACTACTTCCTGGTATTCTCAATCATTTCATCTACAGTATAAATAAATAATATATTTATGTTTATGTAAATGGTTCCCTAAGGGTTTGAAGTAGCACATTCTATTCATTTCATTGAATAATTATGAAGCACTCTCAGTAAACAACATATTTCTCAATATACAGAGATTTTCTTGTCAATAAGATACAGACTTACATTTATGAAACTCCCAAAATGAAAAGAGGACATTAGAAAACTAATAAACATATAATAATTTGTGATTATGACAACTTTGAAGGTAAAACCAGGTGAGATATTGAAAGGAATGATAATATTGGCTATGATAAAATCAATTCGGAGACAATTTTAGATACTGAAGGGAGAATTTTAATTTTTTAAATGACCTGTAGGCCTGGAGACTATGTAGAATTTAGAGATCACAACGAATTCTAGCAATAATTATGTCATTGTATATTTTTATTGTACATAATTTGCTATATAATTAATGATTACATGTTATTAACAGTTATATTAAACATGAGGATCAGTACCTAAGAGATTGATATTTGAGCTATATTCTAGAAATTAACAAAACTTCATTGATTTAAAAATAAATCCTCCATCCCGGGGCCTGCTGTGATGGCCCTGCCCCAGGGGCCTGCTGAGATAGCAATTGAGACTGGGCGTGGTGGTGCACAACTGTAATCCCAGCTCTTGGGAGACTGTAAACAGGTGGATCACTATGAGTCTGATCTAGTAGTAGACCCTGAACACCCTATGGGTCCTTCCCTAAAATACAAAAATAAATAAATAAAAATAAAAATAAATCTTGGGCTGACCTAATAGCTCAGTGGATTAAAGCACCTGCAAGCAGGCTCAGGGTCCAGGGGTTCGATCTCCAGGCCTGCTGTGCTGGCCCCACCCCCAGGGCACACTGAGAGGGGCAATTGAGACTGGGCATGGTGGTGTGCACCTGTAATCCCAGCACTTGGGAAGCTATAAACAGGAGGATCATTATGAGTATGATCTACACAGTGAGCCCTGTACACCCTGTCCTAAATAAAATAAATAAATAAATATATAAATATATAATAAAATAAAATAAAATAAAAATAAATCTTTCACTTTCTTATCAACCCATTATGTTTTTCCCATGAATTTTTCAAAATTCTGAAGTTTCATTGTTTGTTGTCTAGCATACATAATTTGCTGTTATGCGCTATGTTGAACACATTCTGTCAATCTTGAGGTTAGAGACCTCTTGTTAATGTCACAGAACTTCTGGGTCTGCCTAAGCTTAGGATTTCTGCTGACTCAAGGAGCACGTGTCCTATCAAATCTGAGTCATTGTCCCCTGGGGGCCAGGTCCAGTGGCTGCAAGCCCTGTCTCTGTCAATCACAGTGCCAAGAGTCTACAGATGCCTTCTACATGGAGATTAAGTGGTCATAAATAAAGCATTTTTACTTCAAGGAAAGGTGGGATATATGAACCCAGAGAGGATGGAGTTTTAGGAGTTTTATAATTGATCCAGGCTCAGATTTATAGCTTAGAAAATGAGACTGAAAAGTTCATTTTGGCAATTGTGTGCTCACTGGAAACAAGAGAACTGTCTGTGGGCTCTTGCTTAAGAATCTTCAGGGGCCCCAGTGGCCCTCTGAGCTGAACGAACAGCTCTCAGTCTGACCTACTAGGAAGCAGTGGAGCTGGATGGAGTCAGCACCAATTTCAGGCCCCTGTGGCTCGGTGACTTTCAGTATGCTCAGCTCAGCAGTACATGGGGCCAAAGGTGTGTGTGCAGCAGAGGCCCGCAGTGATGTAGACGAGTGGAGTCAAAAGATGATGGCTTTTCGAGTTGTCCAGGTTGATATTTGGACCTCACCCTCGCCACTTGGTAGTTGTGGGACTCGAGCTATTTTTCCCAACTTTCCAGATACTCTGTTACTTTTTATTCAAAATACTAAACATTTATCTATTTCTTAAGTTAATAAATTATTTTCTGTAGCATATATTCAATATTTGATATATAGAGATGCTTAATAAATGCCAAGATCTATTTTGTAATGAAAATTCCTAATCACCTGCCGCTCATCCTAGTTTGATTTTTCTTTTTATCATAGACTCTTCCTAAAATTCTTGATAAGCTAGCACCGGCATTCACTATGAGCAGCTGCAGCTTTCTTGTGGAGAAATCCCGAGCCTCCACTGCCCGGGTGGTTGTGTGGAGAGAGATGGGCGTGTCTAGAAGCTACACCATGGAGAGCAGCTACTGTGGCTGCAACCAGGGCCCCTATAAGGTATGTGAAGCTGCATGCCACTCTCTGTGCCTCCAGCCCAGCAGACATGCACAGAAATGGGGAGTAATACCTGGTTGCTTAGCCGGCATTCTCACTTTGAAGGATAAGGCTCCAAGTAGAGTCTAGTCCTCCCCTTTTGCCTTGAAGAGCTAATTCAGTGATTGCATCATTGCTGTGGGCCCTGGTGGACCTGTGTACATGCTTTCTAATTTAGTTCTTGCATCAGATGTGCCTAACCAGCAGGCATCGAGGAACCTCCCGGACTGCATTACTTCCTTTTGCAAACTTTTGTCTGGCTCTGCAATGTGCATGAAAACCATTGTCTGTTCTAACAAGTGGATTCTTCCCATATGCGTCTTAAAGGGCATAGATCATCTCTAGATGCTGTCAATACCTTTACATATTATATTTGTCTTGTGTGTCAATGTAGACCAGCAGCTCTCTGTGTTACCCTGCTGTTGCCAGAACACAGGAATGTGTACATGGTGTGGTCTCCCAGAGTGAGTGGGTCTGGAACTCATGCGCTAGTATGGAGGGAAAGTGCTCTTGTATAAATCATGTTCTTTCTACAGCTCTATTAACTGCATGAGCAGCTGGATAGCTGCTGCAGCAGGCTGTTCTGGCTGCTCTTCCTGATCCCCCATAGAGAAACATAAATAAGGGACACTGTGACAGTGCCAGGGTAATAGACTCTTTTACGTTTCTTAGGCAAGCTGACAGTCTACTCCTTGGTGATTTCCATTCAGCCCTGTGAATACCTGGACCTCACCACTGTTCAAGCTCATGTGTTGGCTTTGATAGTCTCATGGAGCAGCCAGGAAGCACCTGGCATTTGTGTAATCCTGAGCTTGTAGGGATCTGTTAGCTATCAAAGGGAGTGTGGGAGGGACAGGCAGTGTGCGTTATCTCACTTCCCACCTGGACAGAGATTTTTGACACTAGGCCACTAAACTGCTCATTTTGACTCCTTGATTCTGTCAAAAGAATCTAAAGAGTTGCTTCAAAGAATTCTTTGCTACTGGATGAGTGTTATTATGCTGAATTAATAATGTTTATTCAAATTAGTATACATTGAGAAAAGATGAGTTGAGATCATTGGTTAAATATTAAAAGATTACAGGGCCAGCAGTATAGCTCAGCAGACTAAGTGCTTGCTTAGGTAAACACAGGGGCCAGGGTTCAATTCCTGGCACTGCATGCCATACTGGCTCTGACCCCAGGCACGCTGAGCTGGCAATGGAACCTGGATGTGGTGGCACATGCCTGTAATCCTAGTAATAGGGAGGCAGAAATCAGGAGGATCACTATAAGTCTGAGTTGCACAGTGAGATCCGGCACACGCACAAAAAACCCCCCTAAAAATAATAATATATTAAAAGATTACTTTTCCTGTTATAGTAATGCTGAATTTATCTTTACCTTCTTCTTCTTCTTTTTTTTTTTTCTTAAGCGGTACCAGACATCAAACTCAGGACTTGTTTGCCAGACAGGCGCTTACGGCACTAAGCTACATCCCCAGTCTCCTATCTTTACCTTCTTGAACCTGTGAATCTCACATATCAAATGTAGAGGGTCATTCAAGTTCCTTTCCTCTGTATCATGAAAGAGTTTTTATAAACGTTTACTGGAATGTACTTGGAGGTTACTCCATCAGGAGCCTGTAAACTATTGACATGCAAAACTTATAAGGTTGGAGAAAACTGTCTGGAATACTGTAACACTAAGACCTTAAGGTTATAGATTATGTCTGTCTACTTATGTGCTTCTTTATGGAAAGGGCTAGACATTTGTTTAAGACATTCCATGCAACCTCTCACAGATGGATCAAATTGGTGACGTCCACTGGCTTTGCTTTTTCAAGCACCAGTTCAGTCTAACAGTCACATGAGTATCACCGCCACTCATGATAAATCAGCTGGACACTCCAGGGCCTTTTAGTTTTTTGAACACTAAATGGCTTGCAGGTCAGGCCCTCATCAGCTCTCCATGTTCCATCCAGCGCACATAATGGCTATTGGAAATGACTAGGGATGAAAGAGGTCCCTCCAGTGCAATGGCTTGTGGATAGCCACGCTACATTTATCTTGTGAAATTTTCCACATGGATTTTACATGAGGTCTCTAGAAGGAAGAATAGGAAGCGACCTGGCTCGAGAAAATCCTAGCAATGCCAGACCTGGTTTTGGTCTAAAAAATTCCATTCTACATATGAAACACCTCTTTGAATGGATGGGTTTTCCCCTTCCCTTTGTTTTCCTATCCTCACAAACACTATTGAGTAGCTGAGCAGGATTACAGACAGTGAGCAAAGGAGTGGAGAATAATTTTACATATGAGAGGGTCCACCCCACAAGGGAAAGAAGCCAACCCAGAGTTAGGTGTTTTGGTGAGTTTTGTTTGGGATATATAATAAAATCTATGAGGTATAAAGCAGTATGGAAATTTCCCGTCCTGCACATACTGCAAATGAGTTTTGTACATTGGGAATCTGTGTCCCAGTTGGGTCGTGAGGTTATTATTCTAAGGTCATCTTTCCCTTTTTTGTTTAGCCTACCATTTATCCAAAAGATGGAGGACACCTAAATACACTCACGGGGGGCATTCCTTCCTTCCTTCATAAGGATATAAATATTTTTGCAGTTTCTCTGGTTAAGGTAGCTTTCAAGTAGTTCCAATCATTTCTCCCCTAGCACACTAAGCACCTGATTTGTTAGTAGTAAAATGAAATATCATTTCTTACAGTGACATTTATGTTGGAACTATATTAAAGAGCACAAGCTATTACCTTCAAATAATTATTATTAATATGGTATTTTCTCTTCTATTTTCTAGTCGATAGCTGGCTAATTTTAAAAAATTCTCTTGCTTTTATTTCTTTACAGTACAGTCTGTGCTTCTATTCATTCACTTAGATCCATAATTTGTATTTAATGTGGAAGTCCCACCCACTGAGAGATTTACTTTTCATATTAGTGACTGGCCTAAAGTTATTGAAGCTGTTCAAGAGAAAGCCCAAATGGAATGATGTGTCCTCTTGGGGCTCATGTATTAGAGATGTCCAGTCTATGTGGACAGCTGTGTGTTTCACATTGAGAATTTGTGACACGGGATCATATACGTAGTATATTTGCACATACAAAGGCATGTGTTTGAACCTTGTGGTTGCTAGTGGCTTAGGGGGATAAAGTTAATGCTCCCACCCATGAAGACTGTTGACTCGCTTCTTGGCAATGCAACTAACTTGTGGGGTTGCAGAGTGGACTTAGAGGAAGGGCAGAAGATGGGTGACTCAGCTGAGGTTTGCAAAGCGACTCTACCAGCACTTAAATGCTCCACCTGTGAATGGCATTCCTTGTGCTGAGGACCCCACAGGTGATCCGTCTTCCTCAACCCCCACTGATGTTTTCTTAAGTAATCTAAATCTGTTCAAGTCGTGATATGGCCCATAACCCACCCAAATGTCTTCATTATGTCTACGTAAAATCCATTATTATGATGCGAAGGCCCTTTACAACCTCTTTACTTTTTTAACACTCAATACTTAGTGCAGTATAGAATAGGTATTAGAAATGTGTAATGGCTGCAGATGGAGGCAGTGAGTGAAGAAATGAATGAATGGCAATTTCCAGGAAGCAAAGTGATTATTCTCTATGGCCATGGGTAACTAGAAGAGAAGAAAGGATCACTGAATGAATCAGAGCCATTTTGAGGACGAGCTTTTAGTAGTGCTTCGACTGTGTGGGAATGGACAACATATGGGTGAGAGGGAAGGCGTGGCATGCAGTGCTGAGCCCCCTCAGACCTGTCGTGGTATGCATGACACAAAAGTATCTCATGTATTATATTCCAGAGTATGGTGTTTCTAATGCAGGAGTGCAATCTCTCATGGCCACTTTCTAATAACAGATAATGATCAGGCAGGAAGACTTCACCTGTACTCATGGCAGGTGCTGCAGTTCCCCTTTAGGTCCCCTTTTAGGATCCAGGCACACATGGGTCCTGGATGCTCCTAACTGTGTCCATCATTAGTCATTACCTGTTGTTGAAGGAAGTGGCTTGCTGGAAGCTGGGCTCCTCGCGCAAGACAGTCTGCAGGGAGGTGCAGAGGCCTGGCCGCATTGCTTCATTTGGGACAGTTCTAAAGGAATTTTCCAGTGTGTAAGCTCCATGCAGGATCATTTGGAGCCTTGGCTGCAGCTGCACTATTGTTCAGCTTCTCTTCTTCTCAGTTCTCCTTTCCTGCCACTTCGGATGTGTGGTGAGCACTCCACAACAGTCTTTCTCTATGAAAATCTCAGAGCCTCAGAGTGTGCTTCCTGGGGAAAGCACCTTGTAACAGCGTTTTACAAAGGTTTAGATTAAAAGACATGAATGTTGGAATTTGGCACTTAAATTGTTGAAGATGGTTTGATAGGGATGAATTTCAGGAGCTTACTTAGCCTAAGAAGTTAAATCACTTTCTCAAAGTCACCCTGGTACTAAATTTTACAGCCTGGATTTGTAGCCAGGCAGATTTGCCACTGGAATCTTTCCTTTCTGAATGCTAGAGTGTGACCAGGGAAGGGAGTCCGGAGCTTCTTCATTTGGCCACCATTAAGCACAAGCCGTGATCATGAAAGTGTGGCTGGTTAGCTAAAAATACATTACAGTACAAGACATGTTGCCATTAACCCTTCCTAAAATACTGTACTCCCCCTCTCTTCAAATACACTTATGCCCTCATCCCTGCCACTTTCTGAAGCAGTTCTGCAAGTCCTTGTGAATGTTATTTTGTGACAGACTCAATGTCCTGACTTGACTCACAGCTCTTCCAATAATTTCTGTCCAGTGATTACGATTATACTGTATACTCATCAGTCTTATCCAATGGACCTGGAATTGCAAATCTTCAGTCTCTTCCCTAAAGTGAAAGTGACCATGAAAGATCAATGTTTTGAACTGAGTCAGAATGTTAAGATAGCCACAACAGCACAACTAAAGACACTATAGAAAGAAGACTCC